GTATGTAGAGTTATGAAATGCGGGCGGGCGGGGTGGGGGGGGTGTTAGAGAGGGTGTTATGGGAACGATGCTTCGGACAGGCGCAGCTACCTAAACTCATCAAATTTGGTCTGCTTTATAAATTGATGCTTATCTTTCCCACTCGTTTATAAACAATTTCTGTGGCATTTGAGCAGATCCTCAACAAATCTGAAAGTAAAATACTTGCCATCACATAATGCCTCACAATTGTCGTTTCGCAGTTCAATGTGATTGCATTAGTTATTTGTCTTGGTGTCTGTAGCATCAAACAATTGAAAAAATAACAATTAATGTGGAGAAAGCTTATATTTTAGATGATGTGCTACTCAAAACTGACCTTTATCAAGTTTCATAAAGTTTTTGTAAAGTCCTGATAAAGGCTCAAGCTCAACGAAGCATCTAAAGTGTTGCTCCTGTGTTACATTGTTTCTAACCAATTGTCGGTCCACAAATTACGAAGATAGTTTCTTCCACTGGCAGGGCCTCTTGAAATTAATTGGTGCCGCCTCTCTCTGTTCAGCTTCTCTGACGGTTTGATCCAGGGATATCTGAAATTACCCTTAACACTCCTCCTTCATTACCAGGACCTCTATGTGCTGGCTCTTCTAAAGTCACTTTGGCACTCCTCGCCAAACAGGCCTGGCCCAAGCCTCCCTGGTGATCGAGAGCCCAAACGGAGGGGAGAGACCATTTACACACGTGACTGGGAGACAGAAAGTTACTACCCCCTAACCTGAGTTCTTTATTAAGACCGCAAGGACCCACATGGAATGCCTGGCAGGTAAGTTCCTAGAACTCTCCACTTTTACCACAAGCAGCAACAATATATATATATAATAATATATCTAATATATATATATATATATATAGATAATATATATCAATTAAGCAAGACAAGCCACGTGGGGGGAGGGGTGGAAATCTTTAGCTCAAGTACTTTCACACTTCTCAGTGCGTCATCAGGAGCTATGCAATGTTGCAAGGGAGCAACTAAAGCAGGGGGAGTTTTCTCTTGTAACAGTCATGTGATTTGAGAAAATACTTTCCTCATTGGATACTATTTATGTGGATTGCTATTATTCTATGTAACCTTTTTAATTAATAAAAGAAAGGAGTAAAATATTCTCTTCGTCCGTTTAAATGTCCTCCAACTTCCAGATGTATCTTCGTGTTCCTCTTTCCCCTCTTCTTAACAGTGTGTGCCAGTCCACCCTATCAATTCCTCTCAGTAATGCGTACGTTATCATATCACGCCTATTCCTTCTTTCCTTTAATGTCATCAGGTTTAGCAAATTGTGTGTATGTGTGTGTGTGTGAGAGAGAGACAGACAGACAGACAGACAGACATTCTTCTCGACATTCCAAGGATAAGAGGATAGCCCTCTTATCTCCTATAAAATAAAACCTGTACCACACCGTTTCAAACAGTTGTTCTCTCTCCTGCATCTATGATGTTTCCCTAATTAGAGACCATCACAAACGTGACTCGCCATCACGCTTGTGATGGAAAATATCACCAGCATGAGTTTGTCTCCTTGTCATCCCACGCGTCGCCAACACACGTGAACATCTTCATCACGATTTCTCCTTCCTCTCCTCCAACAGGGACCACACATGTGATGACGGACTCGTGGAAGAGCGTGTCCCGGGCGGTGGAACTGAAGGGGTGCGGACAGGGCACCGTGGACACACTCCGGTGACCCTACACGCAGGAACACGCTGGAGGTCGCCACCGACTACGTGGCCCGGCATTAGAGTCAAAACAAGCCGGTTAGGTCAGCTGAGTCCAAAACATCTTCTTCTCCACCAAGAAAGTGAGCCTTATACCATGCGATCCAGGATTTCGCAACATAACGCTTTCTCGACCAACGAAATGTAGGCTCACCATAGGATTCCTGAAGTCGAAAATCCAGCCCGAAATGAGATTCCAACTTGCGAATGTAAGAAAAATGTAAATATGGATGACGGTCCCTGTTGAAAACACGGTAACTCTAGTACTCACCAAAGTGTGTTGCTGATTTCTGCCTCGTTTAGGCCCGTCTTATGTTTGTACGGAGGCATAAGACCATAAAAATATAATATAAACAAATATTTACTTAGCGAACTTATTATACTACTAGCTTGAGCGTTAGTGATAGTGATACGGTGTTTGGTCACCACAAAGTGAGTCCAGCTCACTCCTGCATAACGTCTTTTCCACATCATTAGCAGTGAAAATAATGAGAGAAGTCGTTGAGTACGTCACTTGACAAATGAGAGAATAGCAGATGATGGAAGCTAGTAGAGACGACATCCCAAAACAAGTCACTGTGGCGTGAAATATAAGCCTTTTGCACTATTACCAGTTCTTCGCCAGAAGCTTTGCAGCTTGAGCCCCTTATGAAATTGAGAAATGAGAGAAAAAATTTTGGGGTCACCACCGAGGCAGTGGAGACCCCACCTCACTAGTCAAATCTTGTGATTTACCTATTAGTTCTCTATATCGCCATTTGTAATGCTCATAAAAAAGCAAAGGAAGCAATGCGAAAGACCTTCAGCTGATGTTTTATACTCTATTGGCCAACCGCAGTTTTTTAATTGCATTGATACCACTTTTTTCGTAGTTGCATTGATGTATGGACTGCTCGTGAAGGCTGGTATTCAAACAGGAGTAGAGTGATGCAGCGTCATGAATTTTGACTTACTTCCTACTAGGTGGGCTAAAATAACACGCTTTCCAATCCTCGTCGGCCAACCGCAGTTTTTTTAATGACATAATACCACTTGTTTTTTTGGTTGCATTATATATAGATATAATAGTATATAATATATAGATAAATATATATATATATAAATAATAAATATATATATACTATATATATATATATATCTAATATAATAAATATCATAATATATATATATATATATAATATATAATATATATTATATATATATATATGTCTGTGCCGAATAGGCAGAAACTTGCGATCTTGGGCTAAACAGCAACGCTCATCTTGCCATATAGGCCACGTGAAAAATTTGTTATTCAATTAATTTTTCGCCAGAATCAAATCAGAACCTAACGAAAAAATAATTTCACTGTGTTAGAATAGTCTTCACCAAAACTAGTAAACCAATCTACAATAAAATATTGAGGTTAGGCTAAAATAAACTTGTTCTTGTTACACTAAGGTAGATCAGTTTTCTAAGATTCCTTTTGGTGCAAAATTTAAAAATTTATACATCAACATTAATGAAAAAAATAAATCATATAAACTATAAGATCAAATTTTAGAAAGCACTTAATTTTCAATGAGTTCTTTGCTAATTGACCAGTTTTAACATATTCGGCACGACATAATATAAATATAAATAATAAATATATATATATATAAATATAAAAATATATATATATAATATATAAATAAAATAAATACTAATATATAATATATATATGTATATATATATATATATATAAATATATTTATAATATAAAATATATATATAAAAATACTAAATATATATATAAATATATATATATGAACGAAGTATCATTAGATCCGGCAATTCTAGTAATTTCCCCTTCAAGAACAACGAAGTTTCTCTAGTAGACAGTTACATTATCACCAGCAAGAAATATAATTGCATTAAATTACATCTTTCTTAAAATAGAGACACGAGATGTTTTGCAGTTGATAAGTTATGCGACCCCGTGATGCAGTCCTATCCAGTGCTGGTACAGCATACTGTTGAGCAGTGATGCTTAACCCCACCCCCTTTCTTTCCCCCATCACTGCTCAACAATAGCGTCATAATTTCACGTGTACATGGGACCTTCATCTCTAGTGTTACATTATTACTCCCATGCATATGAATGAAATTTATGATATTTAGTTTTCAAGTTAATATTTATTCATAATTATGACGGCAGTGCCAGCAATAAAAGTAAATGATTAATGGGACGGTATATGAACTTTGGGCTTTCGACATGATTCATCACTTGTAAATAATGAATCATATTCTTTGATTTATAACATTTCCAGAGTTAAGTTATAAATATTACGAATGCAGTTTTTTAGTGTGGGAGATGAGTTGCAGGGAAGGACTGGGAAGAGGAGAGATATGAGAGTTCGCTGTGTGGATGATCAAGTTGGAATTTAACACCCTTAATAGAATCAGAAACTGTTAGAGCTCAACGCCTTATTAAGATAACAGGCCCAGAAACTAGAACTTATCCTTCTCACGTCACAGCAACGCAGATGTGTGACCAGGGGCTTCAAATAGTTAACTAGAAGTGAACACATTTAGAATACATAACAGTGGAGGTAAATAGAACCAGAAGTTGGAGATCTTACTAGAGTAGGAGTGCAAATTGAAGGTGGAACTCAAATAGGGGGGGGGGAACAGCGATTAAGCACAGCTAATACTGTGTTGTGAGGCCAGGAGCTGTAGGTAAATACTGACAACAAGCCAGGGAGACATCAGTGAGCGCTTGAAAAGACATCTAAATTTTGCTTTAGTAGTCAAATTTGAAGCACAGTTGAAGTGTGGGCCAACAGCTCAACACTCAGTATGATGAAGATCTACAACACAAGAAGCTAAAGAGGCTCAAGAACCAAATTCTGGTCCCCAGGATACTCACTCATAAGCTGCAGCTCAATACACTCACTAGTCCCGAAAGCTGGAATCGAATCTTCTCGAAGACAGTTAAGGTTTAAGGTGGATAAGTCAAGATATATAATGGAGTTGAGCATTACTCAAGAAAACGAGGGGGGGGACGGAACTGAAACGCCAACTTTCTCAAAGGAAGCTAAAGTTTGAGGACAACGGGACTAGCATTGAAGGAGCACAATCTTTTCAAGTTAGGTCGGTATAAAATTATAAAAAGAAATACTGTAAATTGTTTCAGGATTTGAACACTTAAACACTCAACAAATCAATCAAAACTTAAGCAGCCCTGACCAAGACCGAATTCTGGGAACAGAAAAATTTCTCGAAAC